CTATGCTTATCATCACAAGCCAGAACTGTGAGAATCTTCCTCTTGCTTTCTTCCTACCTTCACAAAACTCCCTTTATTGGACTCCCTTCGTGGCGGGAATCAAACTAAATTATTATCTACCTTTGGATCCTTACACATGCCTTTTTTCTTCTATCTTAGAACAACTTTTGCATACCTTTTCCGTATCTGTCACCTTGAGGTCTCAGCTTAAGAGACTTTCTTGACCACTGTATCTGAAATAGACCCTTTATCCAATTTAGTCTCTATCTTTGCATACTATTGGATTGCCCCATAGCAAGATATTTAATTATTTTGTTGTTTGTTTGTTATTTTTGTCTCTCTACACTGCTTAGCTATATAGTTCACAAGGGCCCGTGTCTCTTTCAGAATTATATCTTTATAAGCTCACATTGTTGTTGATACGTAGTGGTCTCAATATGTATTGGTCCAACAAATGAATGCATAAATGGGTGTGACGAATCAAAAGAGAATGAAGCTTTATTTTTCTGTCATCCTGTGAATTTTATGTGTTCTTTTTGTCTATATACTTTTAAAAATATATTCTCTGTTAATTCAATTAGTGAAGCTAGCACAAGGTTAGTGTACTAATTAAATTTTTAGGTAAGGATATAGATCATTTGAAAACATTGCAAGAATATTTTTATTTCTGTGGTAAGGATGTTCCAAATATACCAAAGTGTATATACTTCTCCATATTTGCTTTTCCATTTTAAAATGTTATTAAAGCCTTAGAATAAAAGTTCTCATTTCACTCCTTTGGGGGAATGTAGTTTTGTTTACTTTAATGCCCTAATTAGAAACCAGATGATATGTTAATGAAAATTCCACTCTTGGTAAACGGAGGATGTTTTTAAAAACCCTTAGAAGGGGCGCCTGGGTGGCTCAGTCAGTTAAACATCCATCCGACTTCGGCTCAGGTCATGATCTCACGGTTCGTGGGTTCGAGCCCCGCATCGGACTCTGTGCTAACTGCCAGATCAGAGCCTGGAGACTGTTTAGGATTCTGTATCTCCCTCTCTCTCTGCCCCTCCCCTACTCACCCTGTCTCTCTCTTTCTCTCTCTCAGAAATAAATAAAAACATTTTTTAAAAAATAAAAATCCTTAGAAGCGGATGTTGCAACAGACCAACTGCCTGGTGTATTAGTGACCTTGTCTGTGAGTAGTTTTAGGATTCTTGAGCAATTCATTGGAACTATTCTCAGACACCCCTCTAACATAGGGATGATGCCCACCAAGCTTATCTCTGCTAATCGTATTAAGCTTTATATGCAAGACGGTTTGGGGGCACCCAGGAGCCTCAGTATGTTAAGTGTCGGACCCTTGATTTCCACTGGGGTCATGATCTCACATGAGTTCGATCCCCGTGTCTGGCTCTACAGTGACAGTGAGGAGCCTGTTCGGGATTCTTTATCTCCCTTTCTCTCAGCCTCTCCCTGACTCATGCTCTCTCTCTTTCTCTCTCAAAATAAATAAATAATTAAAAAAAAAAAAAAAGGATTCTGAACTGTAGAGGACTCCAGTAATGTGGAGCTCTACTATGTTGGTGAGCAACCTTGCAAACTGACCTAATGGTCTCTTCCCACTTCAGAGAGGTTGTGGAAGATGACCAAAGGCAATAGTCTTTAGCTGAAGTATTTATTATTCCAGACCATGTGCCTCAAAAGACTGAAATGCACAAAGATGTAATCCTTCAGTAAAACGGAAGTGGGCAAGGGCTGACTTCCTAAACTATCTGCTGGTGGTTAGTGCCTTAGCCATGCGTTTTTAAGACCCCGGATAACAGTGTGGCAAGTGGCTAAGAGCACGGGGAACTGATTTCCTAGTTCCTTTGTGGAGAGATTCACTTGTGCGCCGCTTCTGAGCAGGTGCAAGCTACTTCAGGATGACAGTAGACTGATTTGTCAGAGGCCAAAAGAACTATACCCCTTCAGAAGTCCCAGCCTGGCTTCTCTCACCATGCCTCCTTCCTTCTCTTCTCACCTTTGCCCCTTTTCTTCTCCAATGGGAGAACGTGGGAGACAAGGGAGAAGAGACCCTGGAGGGATGAAAAGAAGAGAACCATTTCAGTTCCTTTTACTTCCCTGTTGCAAGCTGTGCTGCTGAGTTAAAAATATGTAATTTAGTTTCCAAATCTATTCCAACCCCTGCCGGCCTACTGAGCAATCACAAACCATCCAATTTCAATTCAAATCTTTGCTTTTAGCTTTATTTTAAATGGAACACAGCTAAGTTGTATAAACAGATAGAAAGTAAATGCTCTACAAAGAGCAGAAGTAGGATTAAAGGAACCAGGAAGTAAATCTGTATTTAGAGCACACTGGTCAAAATCTGAATTGTTTTCATTTTATTTTTAAAATACCAAACTTGCCACAAAGTACTGAAATGTCAGAGAAGGGACCAAACTTGGAGCACATCCAAGAGTCTGTGCTAAGTATGAGTTTTCTTATTATTTTCAGCGATGCTCGTTTATAACATCCTATGAACAGAGTACACAGCTCCTGCAGGTAAGAATTACTAGCTCTCTGGCATATTTGGAATGCTGTGTATTTACCGAGAGTGACCCATTTCTAAAAAGATGAATCATATTTACCACAAATATTTATGAGCATAGCCCAAAAATTGTGTAATATAGTAAATTTTTAATGATTAATCAACTGCTAACTCTTGAAGTAACATGAGTTCCACCTCTTCCCATAAAGCTATAAAAGTATCTCCAGGTGGGTAATGCAGATCACCTGGAAGTGGCAAGGAAGATGACTAATAATGCCCTTGAGACATTTCAGCAATACCGCAGCTGGCCAAAATCCAGTATAGCTCACACACTGATTTCATTCATTTTATTATCTATATAATATTAGGGGAGAGGGTTGCTGGTTTAAAAAGGACGCATCCACAATGGTCACCTTCTTCTTTTTGAGTTAGACTTGCATTACAACCCACTGGGGAGATACTATTTTAACTTTTGCCATTTACTAGTAAAACCGTATCATTTCAGTTATACCTTTTCACTTTAATTTATGTGCAGGTACATCATTTCTCCAATAAATATTTAAACTCATGCGATGTGGTATTTCTGTTATTTTTTCCCCTTAAAGTTCCATGTTTAAAACCTTTATGGGCAATTAAATCCTCTTTTATTGATATACTGTAGTCTTCAATGGTATCACATCATCTGAAATATTCTCTACAAGTTGGGGGGGGGTATAAAGTGATCATTTCCCCGTCACTTGTGAAAGATCATGCACTGACAAGTGCAGATTCACTTCTGTAAGGAAGCTTCTTTTTGGATGCGCATGAAGGCAAACGCAGTGCCTAGCATCCTACTGCTGAGGCGATGTGAGAATGAGGAGAAGCTTTCATCCTTCTCACCCAAATTTGTCACTGTGAACACGCCAAAAACTCCGTTAATACCCTCCATGGTCCCCTATCACCTTCTCCATAAAATCCAGAGAAAAAGTTTGGGATCAGAAAGCCTGATCCCAGCCGACCATTAATATGCTATGTGTCTCTGTATAAATCACTTTCCATTTCTAATCTTCAGTGTCCTCATTTGTTAAATGAGGAGAACCAGACTAGTCAGACTCCAAAGAATTATCCAGCTCCGCTCTATCCAATTCTGTTTTGCTTCTGATAATTCTGTCAAACCTGAGGCAGTGTCTAATTCTGTCTTCCGCCCCAGGAACGTCCTGCTCCCGTTCACTGTGTCCATTCTCTTACCATCCCATCTCCGATACATTCTAGGGGGAAGCCTGAAGTCCCCTGTGCTGCTAATACCGCGTGATGCTCACCACACAGCATCTGGTATCGTCTCGGTCTTCATGGGTCTGTCTCGTAAATATACAGCCTGACCTGGGTTCACCTCCTGCCCGTGCCACTTACCAACTGAGAACTTGAACTGGTTACTTAACTTCCCAAGCCTAAATGTCTTCGTCTATAAAATGGGGAAAGTAACAGCTTACTCCTGGTAATGCCTATAAAATGCCTGGTGTATATGCCACTTCAGATAAATAAATACAGTATTAGTGGTCATTATTGTTACTCCTCCTCATCTGTGAAGATAGAGCCTATGTCTTGATCAACTCATTTCCCCGTAGATAACTAACTCAGGGTAGTCGGAAAGAAGAGGGACTTGGTGGTCAGGGCCGGAGCTTCACTTGGGGTGAAGTCACGGGTTCTCCCTGAACTGGACCCAGTGGATGTTTGAGGTGAAGAATTATATCTTCAGATTCTGTGAACACAGTGCCTCGCACAATGCTTGCCACATAAATTCTCATTATATAAGCAAATGGAATATGAATATGGAAAAAAGCAACAGTAGGGCTAATGGATGTGCCCTGATTAAAGCTATTATAAATACTTAAGGAAGAAATAGAGCTGAAACGCCTCTGACTCCAAAGCCTTGGGAGGGAAGTAAATGACACCCCCCCCCCACGAGTACAGCACAAATCCATCCCACTGTGGAAGAGAACAGGAGAGGACTGGGTTCTCTAGCAGAGCAGGCAGCTTCGTGCCCCAGATGCATGTCCTAGGTAGAACACGGTGGGGAGGCTTTGGCCAAGGGACAGATACCACGTAGGAGGACAGGGGAATTGGGATCAGTCGCCTCAAGTGCAACCCGCTCTGGGCAAAGTGGCCAGGTGCAGGGGAAGGCCATTCTCAGGGCTCAGCGCAGCTGGGCAGCCGAGCCCCAAGTTCCCATTTTTGCCTCTTTCTCTCCAACCTCCCCCACCCAGCAGTCAGGTCCCGGAAGGTAATTAGTGTGGGGGAGAGGCAGAGCCTCTGAGTCGGCAGGGAGATGGGAAAGTAAGGGTGGAGGCGGTCTTCTTGTCACAGGTCTCATCAAGGTGGGGGGAGGGGAGAGGGAGATTTTCCATTTTTGCACTCGAGGCATACCTAACGATATTCCCATAGACAGACAGACAGGCAGACCGAGAGAGGGACAGACAGGACACAGCTGAGCGTTTGAAATCGTTCATACCCCCAAATCCAGGACGCAGCCTGTTGTCATAACCATCGAGTAAGCTGTCCAGGATGCGGGTAAAATTTTCTGGGCATAATTTCTCCTCCTTTTGGTTTTGTCCTGGGGATTCGTTTAAACTGCAAAATAAAAAAAATTAAAATAATTAAAAAAATAAAAACGGCGGAAGGGGTTGTTTTAAGAATTGATCACGGAACAGGTGGAAACAGGTTTATCTTCTAGGGAAAGAGACTCTTGCCCCAAGCTGTAAGAGGCAGGTCTGAAGGGTGGGGGACAGAGAGATGGTCAGGAAAGGCGCATCCTGCGCACACGCACCCCCAAACCCACACTCTTCTCGCACCCGGTGCCCCCTCTGTTCTCCGCGTCTACGCGGTCACAGAAAAGCCCAGCTTCGGTTCCTGACCTTACAGCGGAGACAGGGGGGTCTGGCTTGCCCCGGGAGGGGTCGCGGCGGGCGGGGGCGCGGGGGGGGGCTGGAGCTCGCCACTTCTCCACCCTTGCCCCTCAGGACCCCGGAGAACTCACCAAGCCGCCAGGCACAGGAAGTGCAGGAGGGCGAAACTGACCCGGGAGGACGTGGCGATCGCGGGCACCTTCTTGGCAGAAACCATCTTTGCAACATGCCATACTTTAAGCCTGTTCACGTTTCCAGGCTCTCAAGATGCCCTGAGCAGGGTGCGAGGCGAGGGCAGAGGCTCTCGGCGGCGTGCGCACACTCGCGCTCACACTCGCCCGCGCTCACACTCGCCCGCGCTCAGCCAGCCCGAGCCGCGGTGGGCGCGTGTGTGCACGCGGGCCAGGGGGAGGCGGAACCTGCCTTTGCTCGCCCCCTCCTTTTCTCGCTGAGCTCTCAGTGTGTATGGAGAGCTATGTATACCGCTCAACACCCTTTCGTGCCCGCGCCGGGGAGCCTCCGAGGTTGACATGAGCGCGCTTGCACCGGGAGGCAGAGCAAGTTCTTTCCAACCTTTCACTCTGGATTTCCGCCCCCCCTCGCGTCCGCCACCCCCAGGCCTAAGTGGGTCCCCGCCCACAGCAGTGCTTAGCCTCCACTTTTCCCTCCTGCACCCCCCTTCCTTCCTGCTGGGATCTGAATTTCACCAATGAAGCTCTTCTCTCAGGTTGTTTGAGGACCTGTTTTGTACACATTTTCAAGGCGGGGGGGGGGAGAGCAGGGTGAGTGAGATGGCTGGGCATGGAGGTGGGAGACTGCTGAGGACAGGGGATCAAGTACCGACGGAAACAAACTTTGGGACTCCCCCTTCCGGTGCTGGCGCGGGGGGGGGGGGGGGGGGGGGGG